CTAGGTTTTGTCAGTCAACCATTAAAAATATTCCACATCCTATCAGGCCTCTTCGGCAGGACCAAAGTGACCAACATGAAATACTTCATCTCCTTGGACAACACATCCCGTAAATTATGAAAAGAAAATGGTATTTTATGAGAGCCAGGCAACCTCATTTTCTAGGCAGCACATTTCATTCATATTGCAGTTATTAATAGGTCACTTACAGGATTCATATCTAGTGCCACCGTGTGAAGGTACCATGCGTAGAGAGTCACCATGGCGGGCAGTAGTATATCTCCAGTTTCTTCCAGAGCAGTAACTTTATCAAAACTATCCCAGGTGTCCTTTGACCTCTACTTTTCACATATTCTATTTGGATTCTACATTGTGTTCACTTGAGTTCCTATAAGACTATTTTTTTAACTTTAAAGCTTTCCAAATCTCCTTGTCTCAATGAATGTTGCCGGCTAAAGTTAGCATCTCTTCTAATGTGCTGGCGTATATATAAAAGTGCCTGGCTGTATTTCTGCAAACCTCGCATCAGCGAGTCTCTTGCATGAGCAAACATATTCGATATTTTTAAAATTAGAAGTTGAAGAATACACAGGATGAGATGTCACTATAAAGTGAGCTAGGACAGATAATTAAGGATTAAAATTGAAATCATTACCTCGCAATGCAAGGTACAGAAAGATGCACGAGTGGCTTCTCGCTTCCTTAGAGAAATGCAGATACAATGTACCAGATAAGGCTTTCTGTAGTTTTCATTATAAAGTTAATATTTATCTTTCCGCATTGTGTTTATCTTACCAACATATCTCATTCAGAAAAAGAAGAATTTCTTGATTTATCACATTAAAGTAAATATTGCTATGAGATACGTGTTAAATTTTTAATAAAGTAAAAAACACTCTATCTTCTTTGGATCAAACAAACAAAAAAGCTGCTTCAGCTGAGATACAAACAAAACCAAAAACAAATAGATAATTACAAACACCAGGCCTCACCATACATGTTGACCTGCCCAGGACAGCTGCAATATTACCTGGCTGAGTGTTCCAAACCTTCAGGTGAATTTATTACAGCCAACAGCTGAGAGCCCCAATAGACAATTCCCTGTCCTTGTAATGACTCCCAACAGGTCCTGCATCTCATCACTGCATCTGCCTGAACTACACTCCACCCCCAAAAAGGGCACAAAAGGAAGACTCAGTTCAATTAGATTTACAAACCTCATCCTTGGTCTTATGTGGATGAGTTTTTACTTCGGAAGCTTCATTAGCATTGTGGGTTTGTCTCTGTACAGGACAGAGTTGGATGTAAGAACCTGGTTTGTTTTCACTCCACCCATATTCCTTAAATTCACAATAATAATCCTATCACCAGAGAGCCAAAGCAAGCTAATGCACTGCTCCTGATTCTCCCCACAGGTAGGGGTGATGGAGGAGTCAGCCTACCAGGAAAGACACACTCCATACCTTTGGAAAGCTATTCTGTAGGAAAGCCTCATGGGATCTGTTTCTCATTCTGGAATGAGCCAGAGAAAGAAGAGAAGAGAAGAGAAGAAGAAGATGATGGCTGCAGATCTTTAGGTTCAGAAGGAAAGAATAGAATCAAATCCTCGGGGTTATGGCACAGGAATCATACAACTCCAATTCCAGGCGGGATAGCACCACGGCCTGGCCTCCTTAGGCTGTTTCTACAAAGAAAAGCCTCAAACTGCATCCAGACTCCTCTGCCTTGAAATTCCAGCTCTGCCACTGCTGGCTGGGTACGTTCCAAGAAGCTCTATAACCTCTCTGTGCCTAAGGTTGCTCATCCATAACATGGAGCTAATAATGTTAACTATCTTCCAGGATAGATATGAGGATTGATTAGAATTTGTTAAGTTCTTTCACAAAGACTGGCACTGTGTAAATGATTGATAAATAAGTTAAAACTTTTTTCCAGCTTCTTTGATCTGAGAACTGGAGATAACTTCAAACTCTGCCTTTTTCTCCAACTCCATCATTTTTCTTTCCTTCTCTACCCAACATATCGGCTTTTTAATTACAACCATTAATATTTCCTTTTTTTAAAAAAAGCAGTCATGGTAGTGCACACCTGTAATCTCAGCTACATGAGTGAAGATGGAAGGATTTATTGAGACCCTATCTAAAAAAAAAAAAACAACTAAATGCAATGACTCACACCTGTGATCCCTCACAGCTATACAGAAGATGAATCAAACTCAAAGGCAAGACATGGGGAAAAGTGTAATCACCTGCCTGAAAAGTGAACTAGAGGCAAAAAAAGGCTGGCATGTAACTTGCGTGGTAGAACGGTCGAGTGCTTTTTTTCAGTACAAGGCTCTGAGCACAAAACCCAGTACATAAAAAAAGCTAAGGTTTAGTAAACACTATGTTTGTGTGTTTGTGCCAGGCAATCATCTCTTAATTATCTCTTCCAATTCTCATAAAAATCTACTAAAGTGAGTGTTATTTTTATCCTTGTTTGATGAGGCATTGAAGCCAGGTGCCAGTGGCTCAGGTCTATAATCTAGCTACTAAGAATAGGAGGACCACAGTTCAATGTCAATGTGGGCAGAAAAGTTAGTGAGATTTCCTTATCCACACGTAGTTGGTCACATCCCTGCTATGGCCAGAAACCAAAAAATAACTGGACCACAGTCCAGGCATACACTTGGGCAAAATTCAAGACTGCATTTCAAAAATAAACAATACAATAAAGGTTGGAGTGCCTGCCTAGCAAATGGGAGGTCCTGAGTTCAAATCTCAGGATTGCCAAAAAGAATAAGGAAAATGAAAACATTAAAAAAAAATCAAGTAAATTGTCCATGCTAATCCAGTTTTTATGGAGCAGAATCAACATTTGAAATGAGACAGTAGTATAAGAGTTGATCACACCACCAAGATAAACATACGTTTTCTAAAAATCTCATTTAAAAATCCACCCCTCCCCCTCATTTGAAGATGAATACAGGGAAGCAAGGGAGAGAAGCAGTCGCCATATCCAATGCACGTCCTGAGAAACTAAGAAAACTGAGGAGAGGGGTTGGGTTGGGTTGAGAGGGATGGGGAAAACGATGAAAAGGGCGACACCAATATAGTTGTATTGTACTCATAAACTGATTTGTTGAGTGGTAATTCTTTTGTTCAACTGCTTAAAGATAATAAAAATACAATTTAAAAACAAAATTTCCCTACTACAGTCAAGCACACTGTATACACACAAATGGCTAATCAGCACTCCCATGAGACTGGATGATGGTTCTTTCAAGCCTCTGAATTCAGAGCTGTCTCCCCTTAGAGCAAGCTTCGAGCAAAAGTTCACTGATATTCCAGGGTGTTTTTTTTTAATGCTTTTGATCAATAAAAACCAATCAAATTGGAAAATGCTTTTAAATTATGAAACAAATGTTGAAAGCCTATATTTTTCTTTGGATATGCATACACAGATACATGTACAAGTCTTAGGCTGTTTGTTTGGTGCAACCTAAAGCATTTCTTTAAAAAATAATCCTTTTTCTTCTTGATACCTAATATCAATATCGATGCCCATCATTCAGGTTAAGACATATTTAATCAACAACAAAATGAAACTACAAATCTTACAAAAAGATCCGAGTAAACTGGGTTCTGGTTGCTCATGCCCAAAATCTGAGCTACTCGGTTGAGATCTGAGGATCACTGTTCAAAGCCAGCCCAGGAAGGAAAGTCTGTGAGAATCTTAACTCCAATTAACCACCAAAAAAGCCAGAAGTGGAGCTCTGGCTCACATGGTAGAGTGCTGGTCTTGAGCACAAAAGCTCAGGGACAGTGCCCAGGCCCCAGAATTCAAGCCCTAAAACTGGCAGGGAAAAAACAAAAAACAAAAAACAAAAAAAAACAACAACTTGATTTATTATTTGGTGCATACCGGAAAGTAAAATCTAAATTTTACTACCTATAATAACAAATCAATAGTTCTTTATTTTTCCCAATAAAATCCCATTTGTCTTCTTTTTTTCTAATCACATTTTGGCCAGTATTTTTAAGTGGATCCACTTTTAAAAGCCTTTTTTTTTTCTTTTCATTAGACCCAGTGATCCTCAGATAAGGAAGTAAAGAGGGCTGCCTCTCTCACATTTTTCTAAGAGCTTCCAATAAGTAAGCCCAACTAAGTTATAAAGAGATTATAGCAAGAGTAATTGTGCTATCTGGTGGCAAAAGGCATAAATAACAGGAGCAAAGGACATGATCGAATATCAAAGAATGGGTCCAAATCTTTACTGAGTGACTGATTTTTGTCTAATCTAAACCAAAAACAACTTAAATATTATTAAAGAACCAATCACATTAAGGGTAAAGAAGAGTCGTTAACTCCCTTTTCCTGCACAGAGAGCAAGAGATGTTTCTCTCTTTCCTAGTTCTCCCTACTTTAGCCCTATAATATTAAAATGAAGCCTTGCTAGAATTTGCGAAATATAGAGTAGAGACAAGAAACATAAAGGATAACATATTCTTGAATACTTTGTGCTATATATTATTGGGGCTATCCATGAGGTGTAAAAGAAAATTTAGATCTCTAAAATCTTGCAGCCCTTATATAGAGCAATTCTACGAAGCAATCCATCTGTCAAAAAGATAAGTGGACACTTGGACATTATGATATCAACTCTTCCTCTTAGAATCGTATAAAATGAATGTCAGAGCTGGAAGAGATTTGAACATCCTCACGGATGACATCCTCACTTTCCAGATAAAAAGACAGAAGCCGTGAGTAACTGGTCTAAGACCACACAATGTGTTGAATCAGTGAAGGACAGAGAATCCAAATTGCTCAGCTTGAGGGTGCAAAACATTCTTCTCTTTCTCTTCACTGAACAATTCCAAAAATTAAAAAATAAATAAATAAAAAGAGTAACAGTGTTTGACAAGATACGTACTCACTACTTTACGTATGTAAGTGTAACCCCTCTGAACCTCACTTGACAATAAAATTAAATTAAAAAATAAAAATAAAAAGTGCCTTCAAGCCAGGTGCTGGTGGCCTGTAATCCTAGCTCCTCAGAAGGCTGAGTGAGATTCAAGGATCACAGTTCACAGCCAACTCTGGCAAGAAAGTCCATCAGACTCTCCTCTCAGATTAATGAGCAAAAAAGGCAGGAATGGAGGTTGGCTACTTTGATAGTGCACCAGCCTTGAGCAGAAAAGGCCAAGTGAGAGGAGTATGAGGTGCTGAGTTCAAGCCACAGTACTTGCACAAAACAGAGAGAGAGAGAGAGAGAGAGAGAGGGAGAGAGAGTGTGCTCAGCAAGACCTATTCCACCTCATGCAACTGCAGCTTAAGCCTTTCCCTATCATTTGGAAACAGTGGAATGGGTGTATCAACAGTGAGTTTAGGGGGCTGGGAAGGTGGCTCAGTGGTAGAGCGCTCACCTTGCATGCTCAAGGCCCTGGGTTCGATTCCTCAGCACCATATAAGCAAAAAAGAAAAAAGCCAGAAGTGGCGCTATGGCTCAAGTGGTAGAGTGCTAGCCTTGAGCTGAAGAGCTGAGCGACAGCGCCCAGACCCAGAGTTCAGGCCCACGATCGGCCCCCCCCCCCCCAAAAAAAAAAAAAACAGTGAGTTTAGTATTAATTTAAACACAAGAGTGCCTAAAGCCCCAAATTCAGGCTATGGGGCACTGAATGGGGCTGTTGGGAAGGTAGCCGGTAGATGTCATCCCCAGGCACTCATGTGACAGGGGATCTGGCACAGAGCCCAGCAGACACCAGGGGTCTCCAAGCATGTTCCTCAGGGAAGCATCTGCCTCACCTGGTAACTTGTTAAACACGCCCACTCTTGGGCTTTATCCTGAACCTACTGGCTGAGATGCTCTGAGGACACAAAACTTTCCTGACAGCAATTGTTGGAAGTTGTCAATGTAAACCCATTCCTACACTTACTTAAGTCTTAGGCTACCCTTGGGGGCACACACCAGTAATCAACACATAGGAAGGGACAGGAGGATCATGAGTTCAAGACCAGTCTGGACTACACCGATGGCTGGGCATCAGTGGCTTACACCTGTAATCCTAGCTACTCCAGAGGCTGAGATCTGAGGTTAGCAGTTCAAAACCAGCCCAGGCACGAACGCCAGTGAGAAGCTTATCTCTAATTAACCACCAAAAGCCAGAAATGAAGTTGTGCCTCAAGGGGTAGAGTAGCTAGCCTTGAACAAAACAGCTCAAGGATAATGCCAAGGTCCTGAGTTCATGCCCCAGGACCATCCAAAAAGAAAAGAAAAACTTTGGAAGTTTTGTTTCATTTATCATGCTTTATTCCCTGATAATGAATTTTCCTATTGGTGTACCGACATGATGATAGCAGGAGAACTTTCCAATAACCAGAGACCAGTGCAAGTTGCATCTCCATTTCCCTCTCTTCCTTTCCCTTTTCCTCCTCCTTTGCCTGAGCTCCATCTTAGCCCATCCCGCCATAACCTTTTCTTCAACTGCTGTTGCCTCATTTGCCTCCATTAAACACTGCTTATTTGCCTTTTGTCCCTGACCCTCTCCCCTTCAGTTTTTAATGTGTATCACCTCCAAGTTTTGACAGGCAAATTGTGCAATTTCTTCAGAAATCCTCCTTTCCTACAAGAAACTCATGTCTAGTCAGCTCTGTCTCATACAAAAGAAAAACAAAACAACTCAATGTCTAGGAAAGTTGAATTAATTACTTACTGCTGTGATCTTCCAACGAAATAACTATAATGATGTATTTTTCTATTACATAGATTTCTCACTTGACTTGGGCATTTTATCCCCCTAGAAATCAAACCAAAGCTCGCCTTGGTCATTGTGTAGCTATTCTGCCTTTCTCAAATTTACCAACAGATTTCCTGAGCCTACCTTCTGTGTTTTCAGTCTGGCTTTGTTGAGAATAGTTTTAGAAGGCCTTAGTCACCCTGATTCCTTCCTTCAGGTTATTATTCCCAAGACTTTGTTTCTGATAGTTAATGTGGTTCTGTCTGGTTTTCAGTAACTTAACAAGGGTATTTCTTCTTTTTTAGCATCCAGCATGTGTCATGAAACCAAGGATCCGTGAGGTCAGAGAAGGAAGTGGAAGAGAGAAGCAAAGCTAGCCTTGCTTCGGGTTTATGTTCCAGAGAAAAAAGAGTCAACACACAAAATAATAAAATATCCTGTTATACAATAATGAGTGGAGAATCCAGTGTGCAGGAGAGGACAGGGTTTTAAATAGTGTGCTCAAAGGTCACTGAGAAGGAAGCATTTTAATCTCTTTGGAGATGCATGTTTTCTGGCAGAGTGTCAAATATCTGTATCACAGTGACTTCTTAGAAAGTCCTTCTTAATTTCTTAAAGATCATTAAAACCATTTGCTTTCAGATTGCTGAAACATACATACACACACATGCTTTCTCTACACATTCTAGAATTTTGTAGAAGTTGTCAAACTTACAGCTTTGCCTTTTCCTCAATTTGCTTTTTATTTTCTCAGAATCAGTAAAGTCAAAGATATCAACAAGAATATACAACTTCTGGTACATTTTCCAAAACAAAAAAAAAAAAACAGATAGAAATTGTAGTGTCATATCTGCAGAGCTATTTGTTCCCCAACATGGAAAAAGACCATGGAAGTTACTGTTTACAAAATTTGCTTTGCCCTTCTGTGCCCTTATCTACTGAAAGAAAAATATCAGTGTTTATTATTATGATTATAGCCAGCTTCGCAATCTAGTAAGAACTCGGCAATAAAATGTGAAATGGCCACATAGGTAGAAAAGAAAAATTATGGGAGCAAAAAGGATGAACCTTTAAAATACCTTTTGCAGAGAACTATATTCACCTTTTTGTTCCAGCCTGAACTAGTAAGGACATAATTTATCTATCCAGAGTACCTCAAGTCATTGTCCCAAAGATTCCCTTGCATTGCCTGTTTATGGCTTGGTTCTCACAAGAACAATAAATGAAAGCAATTCAGCCAAGGTCACATGGCAAGAATATCTGGTTTTGTCTGTTTTAAAACTAGAGAACTTAATATGTCACCTTTCTTATTGCAATCATCAGAATCCATTGCTTCAGAATTTATTCTCTGCCCAAATTTAGGGGGAAGAGTAGGAGGGGAGAGGAGGAACCCACTGGAAATCTTTAACTGCCTGAAATTTCCTGAGTTTTAGTTCTTCCAAACTTGGCAGTTATATCAATTACTTATCATCCAGGATCACATAAATGTAAAATAGCCAGAAAAATGAGATACTGTTGTTTGAAGTTAAAAAATCAATGTTGTACAGATGCTGATTTAAACAAACAATAAAAGCTTGATACAGCGAATCTTAATGAAAGCTGTTGTCGACAGGGAACTGGGGTTAAGGGTTAGAAAAGTGTAAGTAGTCCTATTCCTAATAACCAAAGATAATTAATAGTTGGGGTATGTCTTTCCAATCTTTTATTCTACAGATATGTATATGCTGATTTTTTTAATTGTATCACTAGCTTAACTCATTCCTACAATGTCACAAACATTAAAAATAAAAGTGCACAAGTCAACAAATCTGTCACCAAGTGAACATAGCCAGTGTCATTACTTCGCAGTGCTTTTGGCTTCACCCAGCGGGACCTTGAAGTGTACCAGAGTTTAAGAATTTAACTACGCCAGTAGACTATGTCATGTTGATTGTTGCTCTGCACCCATTGAACAATAATAGCTTTTACTGATATGAAGATCAAACGAATTGACATAACTAACTATTCTTGAATAATGTGGGACCTACAGAACTCGTTCTTTCCCAGTAACTACATTTCCCCTCACACGTTTCTTGTGTAGAAACTTGGTTCATTCGTGTAAAGTCTTCTCTGGTTTCCTCATGTGAAATCAGGATGCTGGTGATTAGCGGTCAGCATTCCCATAATGAGTCTCCTGACTCCATCTGAGACCAGGCCGCTCCCACCACCACCACCCCCAACACTGCCAAGAGCCTCCTCTCTATGTTTAACTGTCTTTGCAAGCAAACATCCTTGTGCTCCCTTCTACTACCGCTCTTAGATCACGCTATTCACTCTCTTTAAACACACTCGTTTTCTGCCTCTGAACGTTGGCTTTCTGTCTTCCTGCCTCCTTGAACTGGCTTTTACCCTCACGCTTTTGGAATTCCTGAGTTTCCTCTAGGTGAGGGCTCCATCATCTCTGAACTCGGCATCTCCGCCCCTGGCAGGCACCATGCCCGCTCTGCCTTAGTAACACTGAAGCCATGGTCTTCTCACTTCACAGCTTCCAGAAGGCCTTCCCATACAATGTCTTCCAATCTGCCCAAGATGATAAGATGTACGAAGCTACGAGTACTGTCCCCCGCCCCTCCTTTACCATCAAGAAAAGTAGCCTGTCAGGGGCTGGGAAGGTGGCTCAGTGGTAGAGTGTTTGCCTTGCATGCATGAGGCCCTGGGTTTGATTCTTAAGGACCACATAAGCAGAAAAAGCCGGAAGTGGCACTGTTGCTCAAGTGGTAGCTCGTTGGCCTTGAGCTGAAGTTAGCTAAAGGACAGTGCCCAGGCCTAGAGTTCAGGCCCCCTGACCGACAAAAAAAGAAAAGTAACTTTTGATCATGAAATCCCATTCCATCTTTGCCTAGAACAAAGGCTCATCCAAATCAAAGACAACACTTTTTTAACTTTTTGTTTTCTTTTTTTTTTTTAATTTGGGGGTGGGGGAAGGTGTGTGAACTCAGGACTTCATGGTCTTGCTTAGCTTTTTCACTCAAGGCAAGTTCTATACCACTTGAGCCACACCTCCATTTCCAGCATTTTGCTGATTCATTGAACATAAGTGTTTCTTAAATTTGTTTGCTCGAGCTGGCTTCTACAGGGATTCTCAGATCTCAGTTTTCTAAGAACTAGGATTACAGGTCTTGACCATAAGATACATTTATTCTGGGATTGTTCTTCCACCCTAGCCGTTGTGATCAATAAAAGTAATAAACTTAGCTGGGTGCCCAAGGCTAAAGCCTTTAATCCTAACTACTCAGGATGCTGAGATTTGAAGGTCACAGTTCAAAAGCAGCCCAAGCAGAAAAGTCCCCATGAGATTCTTATCTCCAATTAACCACCAGAAAACCAGAGCCACCTGCTGTGGCTCAAAGTGGTAGAGCACTAACCCTGAGCAAAGAGAGCTCAGGGAAAATGCCCTGGCCCTGAGTTCAAGACCCATGACCAAAAAAAAAAAAAAAAAAAAGGTAAAAAGCTTTTGAGTGCCTTCTATATATTTTTAAGCACATGATTATAGGTTTGTTTGGTTTTTCCCACATTGGATGTTTGTCCGTGCCAAGCACTGTGCTTCAGGTATGTGTGCTAGGTGCCTCCTTGTCTGTGTGCCTCAATTCAGGACACAAGGTATGTGAAAGAGTACTGGATGTGTGCTAGAGGC